CAGGTAACATTTAAATTTTAATGATTTAGATTTTAGTGACAAGTTTTATTCTCCTCTCACCCTTTCTGATTTAAATCTAAGTCCTTTGAATGAGGTTAGGTTTAGATCTAAGAACCTGACTTCGTTCCCCCCTTACTCCGTGTAGTGAAAAATAATGAAACTGAAAAGATGTCTTTTGAGGAAATGGTGAACGTTGGGGGAAGTGAGGAAGTAAGGGCTTTAGAGTATGGTGACATTGAGATGACCAATGAGTCATCTGACTCAGAGAGGACGGAGGAAGGGATAGGAGGAAGTGAGATGGCCGAGGTTAAAGGGGAAGGGGTCCCTGCAACTGTATTAGAAGTAGGAGGTAGAAATGAAAGGTGGTATGATTTTGAGGCAGATATCGTGTCTGAGGTTAGGAAGTATGAGTCTGAACTCGGGACCAGGGATAGCCTGGGTTATTTGATGGAGACTTACGAAATTTCTTCCCGAGTTCTAATTAGGCCTGCTGGGGTGGAGGAGAGGGCATGCTTTGCACCCCGGGATCATTGGATGCCTATGTATGCCCATTATTTAGCAGTGGGGCTTTGGTTTCCAATTCCTGAACTGTTGGTGGGGTTATTGTTAAACCATAGCATAGGGTTGATACAACTAGCCCCCAATGCTATGAGGATAATAATAGGGTTTTTAGTTTATTGCCGAGCTAAGGAAGTTAGTGTGCCAATTGTAAATATGTTCAAATATTTTTTTGTTCTTAAGGCGGGAAGTAGGAAGGAGAAGGGGTGGTATTATTTTACCCTTAAAGTGTCAAATAAGGAGAATATGAATTTATTTACAACGGGTCCTTCATCCATTAAGGGATGGAAGGAAAAATTTTTCTTCGTTGATGACACTAAGTGGGAAAAGGGAGATGCCAAGGTAGAATTTTTGTCATCCTAGAAGGCTGAGAAAGCCAACCAGAATAAGTACAGTTTGAATAGTGATGAGGAGGAAGAGGTGGGGAAGTTGGTGAGGGAAGAAGGTGACATTGTAAATATCATGTACCTCACCAGCTCAGATGTCATAGAGGCTGCTAAGCTCTATGGGCCAAGCTCTTTGAGTGAAGGTGTGTTGATTTTTTGTATTGTGGTGTTTGGAGTTAAATGTCGATTTATGTTTTTGACTTCTTTTTTTTTGTTGTTTTGCAGCTAAGATGGATAAATTTTTGGGTGCTATTGGGGGGGTGGCCGTTTCCAAGAAGCCGAGCAAGAAGTCAAGGACTTCAACTAATGAGGTGAGTGAGGGAGGAGCTGGGAAGGAGTTGGTGCCTAGCACCTCAGCTGGAGCTTAGGATGTGCGACCGAGGTCAGAGCTCAAAAGGAAAGGGAGCAAGGAACCAAAGGCACTCCAGAAGAAAAAGAAGGTGGTGGAACAGGGGGTGAGAGGGGATGAGGTAATTGAATTCGTACCTCGACCTCCTCCTATTGAGCTCGATCCTAAGCCTACGGAGACTGAGGTCGGGGGGGCTGAGGTTAGAACCCCTGGTAAAAGGAAAGGACTCATTCCCCCTTTTTCCTTTCAGAGCAGCCTATTTGACGTGAAGAACGCAACGGGGGCAAAAAGGTTTATTAATGCAACATTCCCCGAAGTGGACAAGCGTCAGGCTAAGGAAGAGGTGCTAACGTATGCAGGAGCGACAGTGGTTAAGCACGCTCTGGAAGTATGGTAAGTTGGTTGATGTGTGTTTGGTTGCTTTTTTTTTTTTTTTCGACTTCGGTTGGAATTGCAGAGTGCAAGCTGGATGAATGCTCTAGCCCAAGAGTTTGTAAAGAGTGTGAAGGAGCGCACTATCTTGCGGGGGCAGTGTGAGCAACTGCAAAAGGAGAAGGATGAGCTGGAAAAGAAGAATAAGGAGCTGCAGGAGATGCTAGATGAGATGGTACCAGTAGTGAAGCAGCTTGAAGATGAGAAAGATTCACTGAGTACTAAGCTCGTTTTTGAAGAGAGAAAAAGAAAGACCTCTAAAAGCGAGCGTGAAGCTCAGGAGAAGGAGATAAAAAAGATGAAAGAGGCTATGACCGAGCTAAAGAAGAATGTGGAGCTGTTGGTACATAATGCGACGGAGGAGCACATTGCAAATTTCTTGAAGTCTGGTATGTTTGACGAGATAGTGAACCTGTATCGGCTACCCACTGCAATCCTGACCTTCACGGACTGCAGAAAGAAGGTGAAGTCGCAATATCTCGAAGTGGATGTCACGAGTATCACCTTTGATGAACAAGAAGAAGGGGCGGAAGAGAATGGCGAAAGCATGTCAGTTGACTTTCGGTCGAAAGTTAAGCTGAGATGGGATCACGACACACAAGGTCGTACAATATTTCCTCCACACTTTGACTTCAAATTCGTTGCAGTGGAAGAAGAGGTTGCAGAGGTAGAGGGTACATAAGAGGAAGGGAACTAGCCACCTCATCCAGTGGAAGTGCATACAATTTTGTCAGAAGAGGACCAGCCAGCTCATCTAGAAGTGGGACATCCATCTCTCCCTGCTGAGGAAGAGCCACCTCAGCCACCTCTTCCTACTGAGGAGTAGCCACCTCCTTCACTGAAGTAGTTAAGGTGTCCATTCCTTTCTTTATGTTAAAATTGGGACAATTTGTAGTTTGAACCTTTTATAATATTTATTACTTAATTTAATGAAATTTTTTTGAAATTATCTGTAATGTTTGTTTTGTGTTTTGTTTGTTTTATATTAACATAAGAACTGAGATGAAGTAAATCACTTCGAATGTGAAGTCCAAGGAATAATTAAGAGATGAAATGGATTGACCTCAGAGATACAAACTAAGAGATGAAATGGATCTCAAAATGAAGAAGTAATAATTATAAAGAAGAATAAGACAAGGATCACTTGAAAGAAGTATGGGTAAAATTTTTTCAACTTATTGATATTCCAGACTCTAGGAACTCTCTTTCCTTCAGCGTCTTGGAGGATATAGGCACCAGGATGTGGCACTTCGACCACTGTGTAAGAGCCTTCCCAGTTCAGGGCTAATTTACCAAAATGAGTATCAAACTCTGTTAGACCAGTTTTTCTAAGAACAAGGTCTCCTAGTTTGAATGTTCAAGGGTGGACTCTTTTGTTGTAGAAGTTAGCTAATTTCTGCTTGTATACCAAAGTTCAAAGTCATGCTTCCTCTCTGACTTCGTCAAGCAAGTCAAGGTTTTCCCGAAGCAGTTGTCCATTTCGTCCTTCATCGAAATGGGTGACCTTGAAGCTTGGGACTCCTATTTCAATAGAAATGACTACTTCGGTACCAAAGACCAGGTGGTAGGGTGTTTCACCTATTTCATTAAATTATAGTTTTTAGAATATACTTTATATGTTGTACATATTTGACCTAGGATAAAGCCGCAGATGAGAAAATAAAATAGAATGAAAGTAACTTGGGTTGGAAATAGTACTTGTGGCCAGTGTTGTCAAAATCGCGTTTCATATCGTAAAATCTTAAGATTTTACGATGTTAGGTATGGATGTCAAGTAAAATCGACTTCAAAATCGGATTTTCATAAAATCGGATGATAAAAACGTAAAAGCGCGATTTTTTTCGTAAAATCGTTTGGAATCTCGATTTCACTTTCATAAAAATTGAAGAAGAGATTTCTAGAAATTTGCCGCAAGGGAGGGAAAGATTTTGGACTGCTACGGTGTCGACGTGCCGCTGTTCACTGCCACTGCTCACATCTCACGCACTGGCGGGATGGAAATCTATTTGGTGACCCCAATCATGTGGAGCCAGCCTTAAATAGTAGGATTTGGTTGCTGCTGCTCACTGCTCAAGCAAAGAAGGATAAAATTTGTTGCCAGAAAAAGGAGTAGATAAGGATCAGGAAGCGAGCTTGAATGTAGAAAAATGGTAGAAAAGAAAGAAGATGATAAGGCGAAGAAGGTGAAAGTGTGAAACAATGGAGGGGTACTCTTTTTAGTGGGTAGTATGTTGACACGTGATTGGTGTTGGTTTTTGGGCAGTACTAGCTATTTTTTGGGCAATGTTAGCTGTTACGGCACTCGCCTCCTGCACTCTCCAGCCAACACATGCTTCTTTATTGGGCCACCCAAGCTTAATTAGCCATGAATTGATGACCTCTCTGGAAACCAACATGACGTGACCCAATGAAAATGGAAGTATTGGCTGGAGAGTGGTGTTCCAAGCATTGCACTTGTTTTTTATTAAATTTTTATTATTTATTTATTAAATTTAGTAAAATCTCGATTTTACCGATTCGATTTTACGATTCCGATTTTACCTACCCAAAACGATTTTAAGTAAAATCTCGATTTTGACAACCTTGCTTGTGGCAGTTCGACTCGTAGTTACATATGCCCAGAGAACGTTGTTGAGCTCGTCTGCCTACCTGGCCTTATACTGCTCCAACCTCGGTTTTATTCCCTCTAAGATAGCTTTGTTGACAGATTCCACCATACCATTGGACTCTAGATGGTATACCAAGGTAAACTGTAATTTGACCCCATAATTGGAGCAGAAATCTCTTAAGGAAGAGCAGTTAAACTGAGTGCCATTGTCAGCCACAATCTGATTCGAGATCCCATATCGGCAGATAATTGAGCTGAAAACAAAGTCTTTGACCTTTCTGGAGATAAGGCTAGACAATGGCCGAGCTTCAACCCAATTCGTAAAATAATCAACACTAACAATCAGATGGGTTACACCTCCAATCCCTTTCATGAATGGGCCTAAAAGATCAAGTCCCCACTGGGCAAATGGCCACAGCACCACCAATTTGGTGAGTTTTTCTACTGGTTGATGAGTTAAGTGTGCGAAGAATTGGCATTTCAAGCACCTTTGTACAAAGTGAGTAGCATCCTTGTACATATTCGGCCAGTAATATCATTGTCTAAGGACTTTATGAGCTAGAGTTCTAGCGCCAATATGGCTTCCACATACGCCTTCATGTACTTCCTAAAGTGTGTACTCAACTTCATAAGGGTTCAAGCATCGTAGGAGAGGGAGTGAGAAAGATCTCTTATAGAGGACTCTATCAACGAGTGTATATCCAGACGCTTTCTTCCTCAACCTTATCTCTTCTTACTTATTTGTAGGTACTGACCCATCTTGTAAGAAAGAGATGATTGGAGTTGTCCAGCTCAGTGTATTCGAGTTAGTGCTGATCTCCATCATTTTTGGCTTAATGAAGCTCGGCTCATCCAAAACTTCAACAAAAACTGATCTGGAGCTTAAAGAGCAATCAGAGGCGAACTTAGAAAGTGAATCTGCCTGCTCATTCTCAGTTCGGGTATTTTGCTTAAACAAAGTTTTTGGAACTTGTACTTTAACTCGGTTACCAAGGCTACATACTTCATCATAACATAATCAACTACCTCGCAATTGAGTTGATTTGATTAACCATGAGCTGTGAGTCACTGTATACTTGTATTGCCGTGACTTTCAGTTCTAATGCTAGCTGCAAGCCGAGTAGCAGAGCTTCATATTCAGCCATGTTGTTAGTTGCGTCGAAATTAAATTTCAAAGCATGCTCACTTCGATATTCATCTGGGCCAACTAGGAAAGCACTAGCTCCTAAGCCTTTGCTGCTTGATGCTCCATCAACATATAGGATCTAGCTGTTCGGCTCAGAGTGAGAATTCGGGAGAGCCGGAGTGCGTTCTGCGATAAAATCTACGACTGCTTAAGCTCAGATTGCTGACCTCTGTTAAAATGTTACCTCGAATTCCCCTAGCTCCATGGCCCATTTAATCAACCTTCCTAAGCATTCTGGCTTCTGAAGGATCTGTCAAAGCGGTTGGTCTGTAAGGACTATGATTGGGTGTGACTTGAAGTATGGCCTTAGTTTTCTGGCTGAGGTAACAACTGCTAACGCTGCCTTCTCAGCAATAGGGTATCTCAGCTCTGCTCCACATAGTACACTACTGGTATAATAAACTGGTTTTTGTTGTTTGCCTTTTTCTCTCACTAGCACAGAATTGATTGCTTCATCTAAGATACCGAGGTACAAATAAAGGATTTCTCCGTCTATAGCCTTTCTTAGCAAAGGAGGTGAGGTAAGATAAGACTTTTGCTCATCAAATGCAGCTTGGCATTCTGAGTTCCATTCAAACTTCTTTTGTTTGCCAAATTCATCTTTCTGGGCTGCTGATCTCATGATCTTGAAAAATGGCAGGCACTTATTTGCTGACTTCGATATGAATCTATGAAAAGCTGCCACCCTCCCAATTAATCTCTGTATGTCTTTCACCAACTTTGGCGGTTCCATCTCGGCTATTGCTTTGATCTTTTTTGGGTTAACCTCAATCCCTCTCCTGGAAACCATGAAGCCTAGAAATTTCCTAGATTCCACACCGAAGATGCACTTTGCTAGGTTTAACTGCATTCTGTTCTGTCTGAGGTTGTTGAATGTTTCCTTGAGGTCAGTTAGATGATCTTCTGTTTTTAGGCTCTTCACCACAATGTCATCGACGTAGACTTCCAGATTCCTGTCGATCTGAGCTCGAAACACAATGGTCACCAGCTTCTGGTAAGTGTTCTGGTAAGTGGCACATGCGTTCTTTAAGCCAAAGGGCATCATGACATAGTAATAAATTGGTTAAATACCATTTTTGGTCCCTCTACTATAGGAAAAAGCCCCTTTTTGGTCCTTATACCAAAAAAATCCTTTTTTTGGTCCTTATTGTTCACAAATCCGACCCCTTTTTAGTCATTCTGTTAAATCTTAGCTGATGTGGCAGGTTAATTAACGGAAACATTTATTCTTTTTTTTTTTACGAAATTACGTGGAAAATCCATGTGGCAAAAATTAATGACATGTTAAATTTTTTACTTTTAATTACTGATATACCCTCGT